GTTCCCCACTTCCTGCAGGTCTGTGGCCACATGCTATCTTCTCCATATTTAAAATTGGAATTGCTACCGGCAGGTATGCCTTAGCTTTCTTCCCTGTGTTATTTCTCTTCATAGCATTTGTCAGTATCTGAAATGCTATGTATTTTTTGTTTTTGTTTTTGTTTTCTTCTCTGTCCACCGGACTGATTGTATCTGTTTCGTTCACTGCGGTTACCACATGACGGATACTGAGCAGTTGTTGAATAAATTCATCCTGGATATCCTTGTGTACTTACTGCTCTTAAAAGCACGGTTCTAACCAGATCATTTTCCCACTCAGTTGTTTTTAAGGCCCACCCTCTTTGCCTACCAAATGGCAATCACACAGGCAGCATGTCCGAGGCCTTCACTGTCCTGGCTTACTCCCCAAATCCTCTGCTTTTCTCAGATTGACAGCTTCTTTTCACAGACATGCCTTTGCTTCATGCCCTGTGGTCACAGTCAGTGTTCTTTGTGGCCTTTCCTTCCCCCCCATCCACCCGCTTCCGTCAGAGCCCCTCCTCCCACTGTTGCTCGGCTCCTCGCACTCCTGCGTTGCCCACAAGGCCCCTTGAAACCACACCTTCGGCTGGTCTGGTCGCTCCTCCGACAGCTCCCTGCGCTTGCCTTCTGCCCCGCCTGGTGTTGGTTGTAGCTCTCCCTGCTCTCTTTTACTGGTCAGAACTCCTTTTCGTTGTGGAGGTCAATGAGCCGCTGTTGAATTTTTACTACACTCAGATTTATTTTGTACGTTTGGGTTTGCATTTTAACCCTAGTATTTGGGTACTTAATGAAGCATCAGCTGATTAGACTATTTCATGTCAATTGACTATGAAAGCTAATTGTGAGGGAACCTTTTTAAACAATTGCATTTAAGGGATTCACTTTGTTTCTTACACTATCACTTAGTTTATTAATGCTTTTAAAAATATTTTGTCATAGATATGTATGAGGCCATTTTATGCCATTTTGAACATTCATTTAAGATGAAAATAACATTTGTGTGATAATTACATAGCTAACATGAAAGTAATTTAAGATTTTAAGGTTTATAATGAAAAACTGGTAGTAGAACACAGGTTCCGTAATCAAGATTTCTTCCTTTTTTACAGTTATTATGATTTTATATTAAATAAAAAGGAAATTCTTAGTTACTGATTTTTAAACTATTTGAAACAGCTGAATCTTTTGGTTTCTCATTCAAGAATTAGAATAAGGACGGTTTTTCTTCTGTGGTTTACTTTTGTTGTTTTTGTTCCCTTAGTGACATCGCAGGAATGCTGCTGAAATCTACAGGAAGTTTTCTAGAGTTTGGCTTACAGGAGAGCTGTGCAGAGTTTTGGACCAGTGCTGACGATGGCAGTGCTTCAGATGAAATAAGGTTGAAGTTGCATTTTCTCTCCTCTCCCATTTCTTACTTTGTGTATCTTTCCTCTTGTTAATGAGCCTGAAGTGAGCCTTGTTGAAACTAAATTGTGTTGGACTCTTAAGAATTTGGGTAGTAGACCTGAAGGGGATTATTTATTACTGTATTGTCTTTTTGTATGATCTCTTAGTTGTGGTTTTATGTGAAATTTTCTTTGAAGGTGAACATAAAATCTATTTAGCCTTATAAAAATAACATCCTTAGAGAAGATGTAGTTTTAAGTTGACTAAAAATGAGTAGGGTAGAATTCATTCACGTGTTCGGGAATGTCTAATTAAATAATTGTTTCTGTCCTTTAAAGCCTCTGAGCTGTCCATGAATACTCTGATTGACATCTGGTACATTTTGTTGTTTTTATGCTTAGCTTGCCCCTTCTCTTGAACTTAAAGCTGAAGCACGTGAGACCATGGCTTGTTAAGCTATTGCGTTTCCTCTGACTCTGTGCAGCTAGAATTTAGGTTGACCCATGCTAAAGTGCTGTTTTTGTGGCGTATGTATCAGTCTTACAGCTATTTTGTGGCCAGTTTTTAGCGATATCCTATGATTCAACTTTAGCAAGTGCTCAGGTGAACCGGCTTCTCTAGAAATGTTGTCTCTCACCTCCAAAATCTGATGGAAAACACATTTTAGGTTTCAGAATACTGGGATGTCTTTATGTCAGGATTAAAGAAAGATGTTATCACATAACATAGATTCTTAGCTGGGAAAATACCGAGTAGCTGATAAATGGAATGAGTCAGTTTGTAGAAGGCCTTGCAGTTTTGAATGCTAACATAGTAGATTCAAAATAAACACGAGAATTCAAGAATTAAGATGGTGAACCAGAGAATGGCTCTTATAATGCCCTGATCGTTCCCTCGGGATGGATCTAAAAAGTGGATTCACGTGCAGTGATGTGTGGGGCTGACTGTGCTGGCTCCGGAGAGCCCACGAGCGACTGTGCCCGTCTCTCCCCAGGTCATAGCTCAGTGATGTCCCACTGGGAGATTGAAATCAGCTGTGATGAGAGAATTTACACCATGCACATTGGCAAACACCACTGTGGGGGCTGCCAGTTGTTAAATATTCACCAGCTCACTTACTGGATGTATTCCTCTTTAGTTAGATTATAAGCTGACAGTCAAGACCATTGTTTCAAACTCCAAGATTTATCCTAATGAAATCTTTAGAAAATTGAGTGTATTGTTATTTGAAGGTTATTAAGTATGCCCTACTTATTTAACAGATACAAGTATTTTCTAGAAAGAGTGGGGAGCAAGCATCTGAATATTTCAAATACATCCTCAGTAATTGTTTGCTTCTAAAATCTTCAGTCTTTATTAACGTATTTGGAATTTGCTTCATCTTTACTGTTACATATTTCTTGATGTACTGTAACGTATTCTAACTAGATTTCAACCACCTCTGCAGGAGGTCTGTCATAGAGATCAGCCGGGCCCTGAAGGAGCTGTTTCACGAGGCTAGAGAAAGAGCCTCCAAAGCGCTCGGATTTGCTAAAATGCTGAGGAAGGTGAGTTAACAATCCTGATTAATTATTATTTTTTCTTATTTTTCTTTTATCTTATTTTTAAAAATACTAACCCTAAAGAAGTTTCTTTGTAACTGTGATCCTAGGACCTGGAAATAGCTGCAGAGTTCATATTTTCAGCCCCAGTTAGAGACCTTCTGGAAGTCCTGAAATCAAAACAGTATGTGAAGGTAAGTAAGTAAGGTAAGGTGACAGTGTGTGAAGGTAGGTAATTGTTTTGTCTTTCTTACTCTAAAACAGGCAAACTTTTTCTTTAAGGTCTAGGTAGTGAGTATTTTAGGCTTTGCAAGCCATATGTTGGCCCCAGTTTTAAGACTATCCCATAATTTCCCAGTGAAATCATTAGGAAAACAAAGTTTTTCATACTTGACTTACTAACTGGTTTTAAGAATACAGATTAAAAAAAAGCCTCAACTATTTACTCATACTATTTAATTTATTAGTTACACATATATTTAAAATAATGTATATAAAGTAATGTTGATTTTAAATAATTGTTTCGTTTTTCACCCTCACATTTCCTGAAACAATTCAAACTTTGTACATAAATCTTTGATATCAGTGTCCTGGCCGTCACTGGAACCACTTTCCGAGTTCCCATCTTTGCTCTCATTTAAGTTGTTTGAGTTTAGTACTTTCAGAATCTGTGTATGATGATGTTATTGGAAATTTTATCCCACATTTATGTGTGACTTGCACAACATAATCACATATGCACCCCTTGTTAAAATGGTCTTTAAAAGACTTTTTATGGTACCCCCACCAAGAATATAGTGGATCTGTATTAACATTTTTTGCCTTTTTACTAAGTTAGATGATTTTCTGTTTGGAAAGACATGATGCCGGCACAATCCCATGGGAGTCTTCTCCTTGTGCTGAAGATCCTGGTCGTCAGTGCCCACTGCAGCGTGTTCCTCTGTGGGGGCACCTTTCCATAAAAACGACATTGCAGTCACGTTGATTGAGGTCGCTTCAGGGACATTCTTCCCCTGATGAGTATTTCCTTAGTAGTTGAAAATAAAGAAATTGAAGGATGCCCTATAAGTGGAGAAACTTTACAAAGCCTCTCCACCAATATATTCACATGTTCCCTCTTCCACTCCGTCCTCCAGTGACATGGAACATCCATGGATTCACCTAACTGCAGATTGAAAATATTTAGGGAAAACAAATTCCTGAAAGTTTCAAAAAGGAAAACTTGAATTTGCATTTTGGCAACTATTTACATAGTATTTACATTGTAACTATTTACATAGCATTTACATTATACTATAGGTGATCTAGAGATGATTTAAAGTATGTGGGAGGATGTGCTAGGTTATATGCAAATACTCTGCCATTTTCCCT